AATTCCGCCCCTAAAGGAGGATCTCTTCAGCACAAGGAGCAAGGTTAATATCTCATTGATGGTTTTCCTTCTTCTCCCTTGTGTTTTCCCTTCTCCTAGCATGGGTAGTCCCTTCTTTCACTTGGGTGTTTGTAAACCCTAGCTACAATGATGTGAATGCTTGTATGGACTGAATGATTTGTGCGTGGTTGTGTTTAATGTGAATGTGGAGGTATTATTCATGAATGATTGTGTTGTGTGAAAGCCTATCAGTCTAATTGTCATTCTAACCTAGCTAGAGAGAAAACCCCCTTCCTTTCTTTGAAAGAGGCTTGGATGATGGGTTTTCTTAGGAAATTCATTGTCTCCTATCTAGGTTAATGCAGGGCAAACCTCTTATTTCGTATTATCACCTAGGGTTGGTTGTGGGTGTTCGTCCGAACTTTGATTCAAGGGTGAATTCTTGGCAACCCTTAGTTAATAGGTCGAGAGAGTCACGTTAGTGTCTTGAATTGAATTCTCATCCCTCGACCTAGAGACCGAGAGAGTGGCGTTTGCTACTTGTTGCACTTCCCTACAGTTTACAACCCCCTCACCACACACGACCATTCGATCCAACAAGTGTAATTGCTAGCTAGGAGGAGCAACACCCGGGTAAAGCCTTCTCAATTAGTGTCAAATCCATTAACCTTTGCAAACGTTTTAGATTTAGATCGTTGTTTTCACCAAAAATCAACCGCTAGATAATGTTACAAACAATCAAAGTAGGGGTACATGAACCGGCCCGGTTCGATATTTAAACATACTTGCCCTATACTGCACCTAGTTAAGGTTTATACTTGGGCCTTAATTGGGTGTTTTATTGTGATATTCAGGACGAGTCAGGGTCATTTACCCTTCATATTTAGGTTTGTTTCGTGCCAATTCATGTGCATAATCATTTGAATAGCGTTGATTGCATCCCTATTTCATTTCTATTTGATTATGATATAATTTTAGGGTGCTTTAGATAATACTTGCGAATATGGTACGAAAAAGGGCACAAGTGTAGCAAACGGGGCAGAAGACTGATGATCACGACTAAGAACACTGACTGCGAACTCAAGGCGAAGATCGCGACCGCGAATATGGAGGCATCGGGCGTGAATTTTGTGAAGAATCCAGTTGAGGAGAAACATCGAGTTTCCCCCAGTCTAATCACAGCCACAGTTCCCACTAACTGCGAGAAAGTTCACTACCGCGACCGCGAATTCAGTCCGCGAAACCCTCACGTTTGAAGGCCAAAATGGCGTCATCAACAGATCGCGGCCTCTATGAAGAAGATTGCTACCACGATCTTTACCCTGCTTGGTCGTGAACTTGTCCGTCCTCTGAAGACTATATCTAGAATACTCCCTACCCCCGTCAAGCGAGCTGAATTCGAGATAGAAATTCCTGGTTAGAGAGAGAAAAACGAGAGAAGCTGAAGGAAGGAGAAGAGGAGGAGGAGAAGCTAGAAGAGAGGACCCATCTTCCTCAACATCAAGTATTCCCCAATTTCTTCTATGTATCTTCTTCCCTCTTTTATGGAGTAGTCCTCTAAGGTACTAGGGATTCTAAACCCCAAATCCTAGTTTTAGGGTTACTATGTAATGAATGGATGTTTTAGGATTTTAATGAATGAATGTGTTTATCTAATTTATTTTAATGCTTCTTTAGCTTTGATTGTGTTTGGGTAAGTCACCCTAATCTTCTTTACTAGCCTACTTGAGCTTCTACGCCGGGTATGGAGTTTTAGAGTTAGATGAGTATGTGCATCAAGCAAATTAGGTTAGATGAATGAATAAGATCTTATGGTGGGCGAGGCGGGATAAAACCTCGGTGTGGACGGTGGGTAGTACCCATTGAAATGAGCTATGTTCTTAATGCCCCATATAGGATAGCCTAGATCGAGGTGACTGACATGGGTTTAGAGAAGGCGTACTCGGTGGCGTGTGGAAAACTATAAAATCCCACGGAAAAGAGCTCACTCACCACATTCGATAAACCCTACTTATCTAGACATTACATAGTAGACCCAGACTAGGGTGATGGATAGTTTCTCGAAGTACCTGCTTTTATCTTTATTTACACTCTTTACTAGTTATTTCGCTTGAATCCTCCACCACAAACCCTTCCGATCAGCTAGATAACGACAAGGTGGGAAGTAGGCTAGGGTACCGAGACCCGAGTGAATACAACCTTGATCGCCACTATATGACAACGCCATCTTAGGTTAAACTTGGCATATGATTGGTAGTTATTGATACGTGCTAACCACTGACAATAGTCTGCACGAAATGAATTGATCAAACTTTTTGGCGCCGTTGCTGAGGATCCTTGGTAACTGGTAGAAAACCATCGAGTTGTCAATTTACCCTTTATTTATTGCTTAAATTAGTAGTAGTATTACATAATGTGTTTTCCTTTTTGTGCTTTGTTTTTACCCACTCTTCTCCCCCGAAGGGCGGTGTGTGCGTGTTTGATCTTCTTTTTAGTGTTTTGTTGTTTATAGCTTTCGAATCATGGATCCTTATGACTTCACCAAAATGTGGTGGTATTCATCAATGCCCAAAGATGATTACACTAAAGCTTCATGAAAAAATTAAGGTTGGGGAAGTCATGAGTTCAGATTCTTTTATAAACCTCCCTTTCCAGACGAACAACAATATCATTGGGAACTACAAGAAACTTCCCAGTATCATGAAGAAAGTCTTCCAATCCGGAGCCAAAAAGTCAACTAGAGCTTTTGGTGGAGCAGTTCACTCAGGATACCGAAGCATGCTCCGATGTAGAATCCTCAACCACCACCCATATTGACTATTCTTTCCTACAGACAACGAAGGAGACGCTTTGAAAAAATGGAGAGGTTATGTGAGATGGTCAAGTAAGCATGTGCACAACTTGTTCGCAATCATCCCTACCACGTGAAAAGAAAATGGAGGTCGGAGGGGCTAGCCAAGAAGACTTAAAGGAGTAAAAAGGACTCATCTCGGAGAACTCCCGAGATATTGATAAGCAAGCAAGCTCATGGGAGATGGACCAAATTCTGGAAGAGGAAATGAACGTTGAGAAAGAGGAAGATCTTGTTCATTCCTATATGGAGCCGAAATTTGAAGAAGAGGAAAGGGCGATTGCAAGTGCAGTTGGTGTCCAAAATGAAGTCAGGATTGAGGTGGACAAAGCATCAACAAATCATACATGCGGAAAAAGGTTTTCACCCAACCTTTACGCACTCTCTGCCTCCACCAATCAACAATACCACAAACTTTGCCTCTCACATCCTCACATTTCCTTCCTCCTCCTTCCTCGTTCATCCTTCCGACGCTAAGGAATGCAAGCTCTCAACCAGGGGCGCCACCATTGAAACAATTCACCGGCCGCGACATCGAGAAAAACGGCTAGTGTTTGTCAGTGATTCGCTGAACATGAACATGTTGACAACCGGTGTTCGTCGTTCGTTGGCTGGTGTTCGTCGATGATTCACTGAGGATGACAGAATGGGAGATGGAGTCCAGAAAAAAGGGAACAAACTTAGAGGTTGAGTTGATTCAGTCAATTTTGGCAAAAAAAAAAAAAAAAAAATCAGAACTAGGAAGCGCTCTCCCTACTTTGTGAATCTATAGCGACGACATAGCTCTTCTTCTCCCTAGAATTTCGTCCCGCTTCGTCCAAGTAATCACCTCAAAGCAGTGAATCTTCAATCCGTGCACATTTGTTGCCCGACAACTCTGTTGCGGCCTACCCTCCGCCTTAGATCTGCTCTCCAATCCCTTTGTTCCGCCATGCAACACCTAGGAAGCAAAGGAGTTGCTTAGAGAGACAATCAAATATGTGCTTCGGGTGCGAGATGATTCTTGGAATCGTGAGTTGCTGAATTTGTTTGATCTGGAAGGCATTGAGAACGGGAGGAAATAGAGATGGAAACGGAGACGGAGATGGTGACAGTGAGTGGTGGATTGTTGGGAAGAAGACAGAGAGAGATCAGAGAAAGAAGGGTTTGTGCCTATGGGGTTCGCATATCCGGTATACTGGCTAATCGTCGGTTATAAACGGAATAAAAACCGATAATATCGTTTGCTATTCTTTTACTACCGCCAACCAACATCGTCAGCTACCAGTTTAACATATAACCTCCGATTACCGATTCAGTAGTCAGTTAAACAAGTAATTGGTTAATTGATTACCAGCCCTACTGGGTGGATTTGATGCGAGTTACGAGTGGATGAAAGAAAATTTTGATAAATTTGAATACAAGTATGAATAACAAAACATTAATCAAAATGATACCATAACAAAACATCCATTTGATTGGCAAACAAAGAAAGTTTAGGGAAAACTCTTATAAAACCGTATAATAAGCTTAATTGAAACGTAGTAAAGAGAGAAAGATAGAATTGGAATCGGAAAGAAATGACTAATTAGGATATAAACGCATGAATTTTGGGGAAAATCATTGGTGGTTGGCAATTAGAATTAAACGATCAAATTTTGGAAAAAAGTACAAAGGAAATTGTGAAAAGAATTAGTGTGGAGGAAGTTTTTGTGATTTAGTGTCGATTATGGGTGGGTGGGTTCAATCTACTCATATTTTGATGGGTTAGACGGGAAGCAACCCATATCTGACCACTATAACCACTCATACTATGATGGTGGGTTCAGTGGATGATGCGCCCAATGTTCATTCCTAACTACTACAATAGGTGTGACCTTCCACCCTCACTAGGGATGGCAGTTCAACCCGGACCCGTGGGTACCCGACCCGACCCAACCCGGTAAAACCGGGTAAAACCCATGTTGACCGGGTTCGGGCCGGATTCGGGTTTAAACCCGGTGGTTGGTTGGGCGGGTTGGGTCGGGTTCGGGTTTGGGGGAACCCGACCCGTGGATACCCGGACATAACCCTACAAATCAAAATTCCCCCAGCCCAGACCCCCACTCCCCAGGCCCAGCCCACTTCCCTAATTCCCTTCCCACCCTAATCGGAAATCGCAGATCACAATTCACAAATTCACAAACCCTAATCGGCGACTCCTCTCTTCCTCTCTTCCTCTCCGCGCGAGTGACTCCTCTCTTCTCTTCCTCTCTGCGAGGCGCGAGCTGCGACAGTGCGACTCCTCTTCCTCTCCGGCGAGACCAGCACCGCGACTCCTCTTCTCCATCTCCAGTCCCGACTCCCAATCCGACGGCCGCCCTCCCCCTGCTCTTACTTTGCTCCGGCTCCGCCTCTCCGACACCATTACCGGCCGCGCCTCTCCGGCTCTCCCTGCTCCTCTGCCCCGACACTGAGACACGCCAGTCGTCGACTCCGCCGCCAGACACCACTCTCCCTGCTCCTCTTCTTCAGGTCGTCCAATCCACCGGCGTCCGGCGCCACTCACCTCTTCTTCAACACGGCTGTCTGCGTCTCTCTTATTCCTTCCCTTTGTAAGAATCTAAGCCTCCAACTGGCTGATTTCATAAATACTCTACACACTATACACTGAGGGATATATGCCCCCATAGCAAGGAAACGATTTATCTTTTGTTTAAAGAAAGTCCTGCGCAAATTGCTTTAAATTGGTGACGATGGCGGCGACCGCGGCGGCCAGCAACTGGCTGAACTGGAGGTTCTTGCTATGTTAATAGTTTCTTGTTAATTATTATTTTATAAATATTTTACCAAAAAAACCCGCGGGTAACCCATCAACCCGCGGATACCCACCGGGTTGGGTTGGGTTTGAGTTTTTCAAACCCAGCGGGTTTTACCCCGGGTTTTTTTGACGGACAAACCCATGGGTTTGGGTTCGGGTTTGGCAAAACCCGCCCCAACCCGACCCATTGCCATCCCTAACCCTCACAATACAAGGCCAAAATGAAAGAAATATGGAAGATAGAATGTCGGCTATCCCACGTAAGTAAAAACTCAGCTATATTGGTGGGATTGGGAACTTGATATTCTCTGCCATACCGTTTGGTATAAATGAATTCCATAAATTTTGATGAATTCATTTTGAAATGAAATTTTTTTGTGTTTGGTATTTAAGAGAATTCATTTTCATTTTCAATTCTAAATTTTGAATTCTATAGAATTGAAACTAGTTATAGCAATTTCGAGGAATTGAGATGGAATTTCGAAATGAATTCTACAAGTATTTTCTGATTATATTAGAATGACATAATTATCCTCTTTTGACTAAATTACTTATACATATAAAATATCAAACACAAGATTTCATTTGACAATGAATTCTGCAGAGTAATTCATCTTACAATAAAATGAATTCTCGATTCATTTGGTACCAAACGGTCTGCATCGCTGGATTGAGAATGACATTTCCGTAACACTATTTTGAGATTTATAATTATTTTTGAAAAAATAATTCCGATTTGCAAGCACTTTCACTTCTGAAAATTGGGAGCGGAAAAATTGGAAAATACTGAAGCATATGCCTCGCCCAATCAGCTGGGATTCCCTTTGAGAGTTCTGCGCCGTCCCACTTCCTTCTCGTCCATTTCCCTTACTCGGTTACGCAAATCATCTTTCTGCCTCCTTCCCCATTCCCATTGGCGCGTTTTTCCTTCCCTTCACTGGAATTCAATTAGGGTTTTATAGTTTCCGTCACTCTCTTCTTTCTCTTTCTCAATTCCCTCTCCAATGGAGTCCATACAGCGCCGAGTGGAGTCGTGGATCAGCGACCAGAGAGCAAAGATCTTGAAGGTTTCGTGGGGTCCGCTTCACTGGAGGATGAAGTGGCCGCCATGGATTAACGACGACAGAGAGCAGAGGAAGAAGATTCATCAGGAGTACGAGTTTCGGAAGCGCCAGCTCCACGATCTCTGCCTCGCCGTGAAGGCCGACTCCATCTCCGACTTGCAGGACATCCTCTGTTGCATGGTTCTCGCCGAGTGCGTCTACAAGGTAAATGCTAGCTCTCCCGCCTGTTGCTTTCGTTTCTATAATTCGGTTTCGGTTTTGGTTTCTGAAGAGAGGAAGAGGAGTGAGTGGTGTGGATAAGAACGAAGAGATTGCTGATGCATTTTCATGAAGTATAGCCATTATGCAGATACTTGTCATGTCAGTTTAATGCTGTTCCCTACACTTTTTGCGGATAACAATTACTTACACTGCTAGATAGCTTGTATCAGTAGGGGATTCTCCTGTGTTTTATGCACAATAATTTCCTGCTTGATTGGGGTATCAAAAGCTGTGATCGTAAACAAGTTCCTTTCCTGGGATCCTGATTGGGGCAAGGTATTATGTCAGTATTACCTGTCCGTAACTATAGGGAATTGGTTCGTAAAAGCTTCTGTCTGTTGCCATAATTTATCGACTAAACTGTACCAATAAGTTCCAATGTTGTGGCAAAAGTTCTTGGCAACGGAGTGATCGATATTATTTATCTGGAGAGAAGAAAAATGTTTACATTCACGTCTGATTGCGTGCTTCTTGCTTGGCAGAGACCTGCTACTGAACTGGTTCGAGCTGTAAATAAATTTAAGGCTGACTTTGGAGGACAAGTTGTTTCTCTGGAACGTGTCCAACCCTCTTCAGACCACGTTCCACATAGGTTCTTTCTCTCATTGTGCTCTCTATATATTTGGTTGCTGTCAGTTCCAAAGTTAATTGATTTGTATGACATTCTCCTTGATTCATATTTCTGCAGGTACCTGTTAGCTGAAGCAGGTGACACCTTGTTTGCTTCCTTCATTGGTACAAAACAATACAAGTAAGCTTTGCATTGGCATAATTAATGTGTCTAATGTTTGGAGTGTGCTGAAGTTTTAAGTACGGATTGTACTGTCCGACCTGTAACCAGGGATGTGGTAGCCGATGTGAACATCTTTCAAGGTGCCATATTTCAAGAGGATGCTACACAGGATACTGCTTCAATAGTGACTGCTGATTTTGGTAAAGTTGAACGTCCAAAGGCTAGTGGAGAACATGACAAAATTGCAGTTGAGTCAAAATCCAGGCAGCAAAAAGATCAGCCTAAGCCTGCTGCACATAGGGTAAGCTGGCAGATTAGATTCATGCTTTGTGTCTGCTTTAGTCTATGGCATCTTGATCAGCTTCTATAATAAAGTTACACCCTGACTACTTGTTCTCAATTCTTGATATATTTCCTGTTGTGCAACTTCTGTCTAGGGATTCTTGGCTCGTGCTAAGGGGATACCTGCTTTAGAGCTATACAAGCTAGCTCAAAAGAAGAATCGAAAGCTTGTTTTATGTGGACATTCACTTGGTGGAGCTGTAAATTTCTTAACATCCTTTTCCATTGTGCGATTGATTTCCTTTTCATTTCTCCAATTGTCATTCGTGTATCTTTATTTCCTTCAGGTAGCAGCCCTAGCTACCCTTGCTATTCTTAGAGTCATTGCTGCCTCTTCACCATCAAAAGAGCATGAGAAAGTTCAGGTTAAATGCATAACATTTTCCCAACCCCCAGTTGGCAATGCTGCTTTAAGAGAGTACGTACTATTTTGTCCTTTGCTGTGCATGCTAAAGACTGCTAGCCTTGCTCTCTTTAGTTTATTTTCACATGAAACATGTTGACCCTTATTCATTTAACTTGGTTCTCGATTGCCCTTTGCAGTTATGTACATGAAAAGGGTTGGCAGCACCATTTCAAGACTTACTGCATTCCTGAAGATATAGTGCCTCGTTTCCTCTCTCCTGCTTACTTTCATCATTACAATGCACAGACTTCATCAAGGCGTTCTGAGATCGATGCTACTGGTCAACCTGTTATGAAAGAAGAAGAAGGAGTAGAAAAATCAAAGGAAAACAAGCAGAAAGATAGGAAGGGGGAGCAACTGGTTATCGGGCTAGGCCCTGTGCAGACTTCCTTTTGGAGACTTTCTAGGCTTGTTCCTTTAGAGGGTATAAGAAGGCAATTCAATAAGTACACAGGAAAGCCAGTTGATACCGAAGAGAGATCGGCAGCCTCTACTTCAACTTTGACCCCCTCAATTGAGGATGTAATAGATGAACCACAATCTCTTGAAATCCAAGAGGGTTCTGATGGTATATCACTTAAACCATTATCTGAGGTTAACAATGGGAAACAAGATGAAGCTGTGGCTGATAACTTATCTGAGAAGGCTGACAGAAAAAATGGAGGCAGGAGGAGCTGGCAGAGAGTACCTTATTTACCTTCATATGTTCCGTTTGGTGAGGTATGAAATCAAGATAAAATTGTGAACTCATTTTTAATTCAAAATGTGGGCCATTCTTGGTCAGTGCAAACAAAATTCCACCATTAGCATATGTTTTGATTGACAGGTTCTTTCTAGAATGAATAGGTGAGGTCAAATTTTTAGGTTTCTTCTGCAAATTGCTCAGAAACATCTTCAATTAAGAACGAGTCCTTTGAAAACAAGTGGCATGTATGATTTATAACAAATGTGTCTTTTTGTACCAGCTATATCTCCTGGAAAATTCGTCAGTGGAATTGCTATCAGGTGCAGAATACTCAAAATTGACGTCGGTATGACCTTCCGTGAAACTTTATGGTCATTTTTGTGTGGTAATTATGGTATTTTTTCTATTTACAGGAGAATTTAGACTTTTAATGTCTTAGCTTCAGGCATATGATCCCTCATTTTGTTTGCTTTATACTGGCAAAGACATTTCCAGGTTGGATCTGTGTTTGCTGAACTAAAGGAACGATTTCAATCACATTCAATGAGGGCATATAGGTCACGATTTCAAAGGTATATGTATGGAATACACATACCACATTTCCCTTTGGAACGCGCAGAAGTTGAATTGTAGTTTTTCTTTCCTCTTCTTATTTCCTTACTGGAATAAGGATTACATCAGTGGATTATGTTATTGCATCAACATACAAGCAGCAGAAACTGTTCTTATTTTATGTTTTTGGGGTTCTGTCCTATCCGGCTAGTTTGGAACACCAATTTTCCTTCTTTGAGGAATTATACGACATTGAAAATGTGATTGGGAACTTTTGATTTTGTAAACCTTTAGTAGCTCTATGCCTTATCTAGAATGAAACCTAACTTGTCAGAATTTTGTATTTTCTATGAAAGTGATTTTAGTGACATGAAATTACTTTAAATTGTCTGCAGAATTTATGACTTGTGCATGGGCGAAGGTGGGTCAGCATTCCCAGGGATGGAGCAACTGACACAGTTTCCACATTTACAGCAGTGGCTTGGACTTGCAGCAGCAGGTACTGTGACGCTTGCTCAGATTGTTGAGTCCCCTGTTATTCGTACTGCTACTTCAATTCTTCCTCTTGGATGGAGTGGTACTCCTGGTGAGAAGAATGTACAACCCTTGAAAGTTGATATCACCGGTTTTGGATTGCACCTTTGCACCCTGGTTCACGCTCAAGTGAATGGTAACTGGTACTGTCCTTTCTCCTTTGGCCCCCTGGCTCCTTTTGTTGATTAATTTTTATGAAGTCTTAGCTGGTTTACAAATTGGGGACAAACAATGGTATTTGAGATTGCATCATTTTGAGATTGTGTCATTTTCAGGCATTTGAGATTACATGTGCAATGTCAAATATATGAAAATTGTCAACAAACAATGGTTATGTCTAGAAGTTGGAATCTGCAAAGATCAGTTAACAACTGTCCCTAATAAGTATTCTTTTTACCAGGTGTTCAACTACGGTAGAGTCATTTCCTTCGGCACCCACCTACTCCTCCACTCAAGGCAAGCAGCCAGAATTACAAAAGATAAGGGTCCTTGTAGGAGCTCCGTTGAGAAGGCCACCAATAGTGGCCGCAGCAGACTCCTTGATGCCTCTATTCTCTTCCATCAATTCTGATGTCAATCTCAATGGGGAGCATAGTTTTCAACACCAGGAAAAGGCCCTCCGTCCAGAAGCCTTACTTGATTTTTCCATATTTTGCACGAGTGATTTTACCACTGTTACAAAGGAGGTTCATGTTAGAACGCGAAGAGTTCGATTACTTGGACTGGAGGTAGTAATGTTCTTTTGTCATTTCTCATCCTGCTCTTTTGAAGGTTCATCCAGATACTCACTTTCTTACTAAGGACTCATTTGATTTTAGGGTGCTGGTAAGACATCGCTGTTCAAGGCCATAATGAATAAAGGCAGAATTACTGCAATCACGAATTCTGACAACATGCTCATGGAGGCTGATGTTCAAGAGGGCATTGCTGGGGGACTATGCTATTGTGATTCGTCTGGTGTAAATTTGCAGGTACTATTCTCAATTGGTGTCTTTGTTTTATTTTTTATTATTTTATTGGAAAGACCTGTAGTGTGTTTGTTTTAGGTGTTGCTGAGAATAAGCGACATAGGATATCTTAGAAAGGTTGAGTTAATTGGGAATACAAAACTAATCGATGGATATCAGATATAACTTCAAGAATATATATTTCTCCAAAGGGATAAAGTTGGAAATAAAATGTTCGAATTATTTTTAGGGTCCATCATGAATATTTGTTTGTAAAAATCAGATTGAAAAAGTGTGTTTATTCTAGCTTTTTAAGCTCATTCTTTTCTTTAAGCTGACTTCTTTTATAAAGCTGAAAATAAGCACACCCCATATACTACTGTATTCCTGCCTGTAACTTTTCTGATTAGAAATTGGTGGGGTTGCACATCCTAAGCGGAACCCTATTCTTAATTTAGGTTTTTAGATCCCACCCAAACACGATTTGTACCCCAGCAACCAAGAAAACACCTACCTTTTTCCAGCTTTGAGTGACAATGTGCCCATCCCCACTTTTAATATATTTTTCTTTTTGCATCACAGGATCTGAATATGGAAGTTTCTCGATTTAGGGACGAGCTGTGGGCAGGAATTCGTGATCTTAGTAGGAAAGTAGATTTGATAGTTCTTGTGCACAACCTCTCCCACAAGATCCCCCTATCTATTAGTGATTCAACCACATTGCAGCAACAGCCTGTCCTTGGATTTTTGTTAGAGGAGGCGAAAGCTCTTGGAATACCATGGGTTCTTGCCATAACTAACAAATTTTCAGTCAGTGCACACCAGCAGAAGGCAGCAATTGATGCTGTTCTGCAGGCATACCAAGCCTCGCCAAGCTCCACAGAAGTTATCAATTCGTGTCCTTACGTGTTGTCTGGTGCTGGTGGAAGTGCTCCTCTCCCATGGGCTGCGATTGGTGGAGACTCTAGAGGGAAAGTGGGCGGTCAAAGGCTTTTCTTCTCCCCCATCAATCTTGTTCGTAGGCCGTTTCAGAGAAGAGATACAGTGATTCCCGTCGACGGTGTCAGCTCCCTCTGTCAGCTTGTCCAGCGTGTGCTACAAAGCAATGAAGAGGCTGCTCTTGAGGTAGGTGAATTTTCGAACGCAGCAAACTGAAAAGAAGGTGCTGCGTGTTTGATGTGGTTATTGTGTTGTTGTAGGAGCTGGCTCGAGATAGGTTGTTGGCAGAGTTGGTGAGAGAGCAGGCATTGGGGGCAAGTGGAGGATCCGAGGCAAAGGAGTCGTCAATGACAGCTGCGGCGGTGGGTGCTTCTGTGGGTGCTGGTCTTGGGTTAGTGTTAGCTGTGGTGATGGGGGCTGCCTCTGCTCTCCGGAAGCCCTGACTCACTATACTTGGCGAGTAGTTCATATTTCTATGTATCCTCCGTTCCATTTCTCAGCTTGACATTTATTGATTTGATTGCCATTCTAGACTAGCGCGATTACTGTAAATGTAGGTCCATTCATGCATGGTAGAAAAGATGAAGCCTCCATTGGTTGATTAAGTCACTATATGTATCTCTTTGTAAATTCGTCGTACCCCAAATAATTTGAACGGTCTCTTAGAGTAATTTGGAACTCAAATTTCAGTACACAGCCCACAAGTGTGTGGGACTTTCTAGCAAGCCACCCAGGCAACATCAGAAAGAGTCCGAGCCTGCATTTCTTTGCATTTAGTTTCAGACTTTGTTAGATATTGCCGCCTTACTGAACAGATTTCCTGTTTTAGCAACTTAAACCCTCCTTCCCAAAGCAAAACAGAGAAAGAAATGATCCTCTGTAGATTGGAATTCGCTGATTCTGCAAGCTACATTGAGTAAGGAATTCCGAAAATGGATACGAAATTGTCGCCAAGGGTTGGTTCTCATCTCATGAGGAGGAGCAGCAATACGAACTCCGACCGTCGGCACCCTTGTTAAGGAGGGAGACTGTGTTGACAGCAGTCAAGTCAGGCTTGTGGGAGTCGGAGTTCAAAACCTTTCGGCGTAGGTTGTTGTAAATCTCTCGGATCACAACCTCGAACGCCGCCTCGACGTTGGTGGAATCCAGTGCAGAAGTCTCCATGAAAAACAGCCCCTGCTCCTCCGCCACACTCTTGCCTTCCTCTTTGCTCACTTCCCGTATGTCGTCCAGGTCGCACTTGTTCCCCACCAGCATCTTCCCCACAGTCGTATCGCAGTGCACTGCAAATATGATGGATTAAATTCCAACTAATCAATCAAAAGATTCAAGATTAGCGAGAGAGGGGGAGAATAGAGCTGGGGAATGAGGATATATATATGCATACTGGAGAGCTCCTGGAGCCAGCGGGTGACACTGTCGAAGGTGGTTTGGCGGGTGATGTCGTAGACGACGAGAGCACCGACGGCGCCGCGGTAGTAGGCGGAGGTGACGGCACGGAAGCGCTCCTGGCCGGCTGTGTCCCAGATCTGGGCTTTTATCTCCTTGCCGTCGATGTCGAGGAGCTGGGTCTGGAACTCGACGCCGATGGTGGCCTTGGAGTTGGCGTCGAACTCGTTGCGGGCGAAGCGGGAGAGCAAGTTGGATTTTCCCACCGCCGAATCCCCGATCACAACTATCTTGAACAGGTACTCCTCGCCTGCTCCTCCGCCTTCTTCTTCTTCTCCACCCATTTTGGGGAATTGGCGCAGCGCTGGGGAACGAATGGAATAGGATAGGAAGGAATGGGAGGAAGATAACGTGGGCTTATAGTTACAGCTTAGACCATGAGAAGGGGGGAGACTCGAGTCGTGAGTGCATTGATTGAGTGCCGAGTGGGGCAGAGGTGACTGACTGACCGGCTGCGCAATCGACGGGGATTTTATTTTCTTTGGGCATCGGCGGGGTTTTGACTTTTACGCTACTCGTCTCGTCTGTGTGTGTTCACAACAAAACGGTAGAGTAGAGATTCAATTAATTGCGTAGGAGTAGAGTAGCAGCTGAGACTTGGGAGAGTGTGGGACGGCGCCCCGTCCTTGAAGGCTTTCCAGCTCACTCCCCTCCATATTATTTTTCTTCATTTATGCAACTATAGATTAATTGTAGGTGCTAAGTTTGACGATCTCACAGCACATCTTCCATAATCTTCAAAGAAAAGGGAAACCACATCTACGTTATCTTCCTTGTTTGATTTGGCCAACAGATCTCGCTATGGGGCGGATCACATGAATAAACTTTATTAAGAATTAAGAGGCTAGTTCAAATAACACAAGGTGGTGGATGTTAGTAAGTTTTTTTTTAATAAATCTACTCGTAAAATCCTTGTTTGATTTAATATACTCTTACATGAAATCATACAAAAGAAGAAGAAAAAGATCCTACTAGAGTGAAATTTTAATTGCATTTCAAAGAGAAAGAGAGAAAGATCCACCAATGAGTAAATCGCAAAGGGTACCACATTTCTTTTCAAGTCCAAAACCGGCAAAAACCTGCATTTGTCCAAAATCACTTTGGCTTCACCACAAATTATCTCGTGTTGAAACTAGCATATTGTGCTCGACTATCATGTTGCTAAAACGTACCCCCTGCCAAAGCAATTGGTAGGGCCCCGACCACCCGTCCTCCTACCTATGCATGCTTTCAAGCCTTGCTTCGTTTTGTTTACACGGTCTGGATGTTTTGTATAGGATTTGAAGATGGAGTAAAGAGGGAGAGATGTTTCACCTTGAATAACTTGAGCATCCACCCATTTTGATTCAAACCATCGATAGTCCACTCAATAAGACTGTCAATAGTCTAGTTATGTCTTGCTTGCAGTTTCAAATATTTTTTTGTTTTTGTTTTCCGACAGTGTTTCGAATCCTTCCAATAATTTCTTACAACTTTGGCATATAGTCGGCTAGGCTATCCAAATTTTGATCCTCCTGTTGTTATTTCAAAATGATTTACTTGGAAAGCATAATGTGAGTTTACTTTAAATCATTCTTACACTAGTTGTATTGATAAAAAAAACGCTGGTGTTACCTTCCATAGCATCACAAATGCTATTAAAGAGCCATTTCATATGGTTCATACTAACCTATGGGGTCCCTCACCAGCGGTTTCTCATCATTGTTATTGTTATTTGGTCATGTTTATTGACCATGCAAATCGCTTTACATGGGTGTACTTTTTATGTCTTAAGTCTAAACTTTACGTAACAATCAATTTTTTAACATGATTATGAATAAATTTGATTGAACAACTAAAAATGTTCGTTTTGATCCCCTTAGCGAGTTTATGAGATGGATTTAACATGTGCTCTCCTTCTGGATTCTCATGTCCATTCCCAATGTTGGCTTGAAGCCATAGCTATAGCTAAGCTATTCGTTTTATTAACTACCAATCACCCCAGTCCCGAGTCAAACTAATCCATAATCTCCCTTGTGCTCTAAGCATCCAAATTTTTTGAGTCTTTGATTTCTTATGTTTTTTCACCTTCTCGTCATAAACGTAGTGAGTTGAGCACTAAAACTTCCTAATTGTCTTTTTAAGTTATAGTAACTCCCGCAAAAGATACCTTTGTTTTGACCTTTAAAACATATTTTCATTGCTTGTAGCGTTTATAAAACCTATATTACAATGATGAATTGAGTTTAGAAGACCAAATCATCCAAACAACCGGAATGAGTGCATTGGGTGGTTGGTTCTAGCAAATAAAGAGAGAAAGAAACACACATGAACGTATTATTTAAAATGAGGGACAAATGAAAGTGCTTAGCTTTGTCTGTTCTTTGTCCACGAGTGGGACAAAGGGGACATGGTAGAATGTGGTAAAAATAAAATGGATTTCCTTGGTTTCCTTAAGAAAATGAAAAAAAGAAAGGTAAATTACAAGGTTGGACACTAGATTACTTAAAGTTCATGTTTGATCGACTAAAAATATCCAATTCCATTGGTGATTATTAGGATTAGTAAAACCTGTGTTAAATAAAATGGATTGGATTGCACCTTTGACTTCTAACCAAACGATTTCTAAACACGGTTTACACCTCTTCGAACAAAGTTTGAACGAGGGTGTTTGATTTTTGATTTTTGGGAATGAAACTAAATTAAATTACGCCTACTCCTATGGAGGTTAAGTGAGAGCTCCATATTACAACTATGGCTAAATTTTCACAGTAACGATGAAAACTTGACGTTGGCCTCAGTTGTGTGGTTTTGGAACCTTTGTCTCTGTCGACCCCTCCTCCTATTTATAACCACGAGGAGGTAACCGCGGTAGAAAGCCTCTTGTTGGATAACTGTTACAAAGAACCGCTCCCCCGTCTTCGGACTAGTGGTTACTGCTGTCGCAACCGACCCTCCGAGGTTCGTCGTTGCATTCACTTTTTTGGAGTCGCCATCGATCTTACTTGGAGTGGATCGAACACTCTTCGGTCGGCTCTAACCTCAGGGTCGGAATCGAGACATGGTCTGCGAAAATAAAATTTTGGGTTCAGAAGTACGGTTACGTGTGGGGAAGTTAAGCAACACCCCATAACGCCCTAAATCGGTACTACTTAAGTTGATAAGTTTTATATTAGTTGGGTGTTATTTTGGTAATTATTGTGTATTTTAAAATTCCACTGCATCATTAATATATTGCTTATAATTTAACTAAACGTCCATTGACGTCTTAGTTCATGATTACGTATTTTTAGGGCCGTACCGGACCACTAAAGGATTTAAATCGTATTAGTTGTAATTTAATATACGCCCACCGGCGTAAAAATTGACGATAAAATTAGTAGTTGGACTCGAACGTTATCGGCTGCTTACGTACCCGTTAGACGGGATCAAAGTCCACGTAGTTTATTTGGAACTTTGATAATTTAATTGTAAATTTTACCACGTTCCAATGAACGTAGTTCTAGTATTATAAATTTTTTAATAAAATTTCATTTAGATTGTTATGAGGTTGTGACAGTAAATGCAAGGATTTTAGTTATTAGGATGTATTTTGACGTATTAGAAAAGAAACAAGAGAAACTTAATCCACAATAAGCATTTTGTATTAAGGATTTTAAATGAATAAAAGTAAACGGGATGATTATGTTAATGCATGATGGGCTAGCAGCCCAACTGGTTCGACTGCTGTTTACAATCCGCGTACCAGCCTGACTGCACGAGTTTGAAACTCGACATGAACTAATTTTGGGTTTTTTTCATTTTGAGACAGAGACGCAGATAGGGGCATTTTCGTACTTACTCAAAATGACGGTGGTTGGGAGCTCTCTTGGGTTGAATCCCCCTAGTTCTAGCCTTTGGATCGATGTTGAGTATTATCCTAGCTCGACCGATTCACTATCTTACCGTTATGAGATTGACTCACTCGGGACGAACCGGAACGACGAAGTGATGGATGGGTAGGAGATCTATTCAACCTAGGGGGCTCAAAGGGGATTTTCTCCCTCCTAGGTCAAAGCTCAATTGACAAGTCAAGGAATCCAAACTCATTCAATCCTTATCAAACATCAATCAAATAGATAAATTCATCAATCAAAGATATGATTTGTCACAGACATCAACAATGAAACAACATCTAGAACTAGGGTTCTTAAACCCAAGAGAATAGGGTGAGTTTCTAAAGAGAGAAGAGAGAAATTACAAATTGGAGCCCAAGATCTTCTTCTTCTTCTAGGCTTGATTCCTTGCTTCCAAACTTGATCAATGCCTTCAATTAACCTCCAAGATCACTCAAGAACTCTCTCTCTCTCTCTCTCTCTCTCTCTCTCTCTCTCACTCTCACTAGAACTCCCCTTTGGTGTTTTGGGTTGAAACCCTAGAGAAAGAAACTATTTCCTCCCCCAAAAACCAGCTCCCCATTCTCTCTCCCCGCTGCTGTCTTTAAATTTGCCCGACATGGCCAGTTCACGACCGGGTGCTTCAGTTCACGGTCTTAGATAGTGAATTGACGACTTCACGGTCTGGGCTTTCAGTTCATGGTCTTAGAGACCGTGAACTGACTTGATGCTAGTAACTTCCAAAACCGTTCTGGAAATTGGTCACTTATGGTCTGAGATTTCAGTTCACGATCTTAGAGACCGTGAACTGAAGCTCCAGCCCGTGAATAGGGCTGCCTTCCTCTAGTTCACTTCTTTCAGGAGTGCGGATGGGTAAGAAAGGCTTAGTTCTCTAGACCACCTATTTAACAAAGGCGAGAACTTAAGAATGTATGGCGGCTACAGTCACAGAAGGATTTGATACCATGTCATAAATCAGTCGGTCCCAATAATTCGAGTTGTTGGGAGAAGGTTATGCTAGATCTTATACCAGTCTCTAACAATTCTTGTACAATTAAACTGTATTGTTTAACTTCTATCAACAAAAAATGCCACGGACATTTTAACACAAAACGAACCAAATTTTACTCACCAGACTCAAAACCCCTCACCCAGATTCATCCACACAAAGTATGAGTATAACTAGTAAAATGATCACTAGAAAGTATGTTCCTACTTTTATCCTTCCACATTAGTGCTACAAAATATTCACATTTATATGATGGATGTCCAATATCAGCCTATGTCCAATATTAAAAGAACCAAATTTGAACTTCATTGTCAACGTCATGGATAGAGTTCATAAAATTTTAGTATGTTCCTTTCAATGGGTACCACGGTATCAAGTAATTTTATACTTGATCTTCAATAGGATAAACATATACTCCGCGTACATAATTTACAAATAAGTCAATTTTACCTTCAATAGAAACTAATGAGAATACCCTATTACAGTCACGAATGTATTCCAAAAAGTAACACCCTGTTGAAGTATTTGCTTGCAATATGATATTTTAAACCTTTGGATGATGCTTTCGAGGAGAGGGATTCACTTTGGGGACAAGATACTATGACTACCCCCAAAAGGGGTTGGGTTTTTGACACACCCTCCTGCAGCTATCCACGTGTCCTTCATCTTTGGATAAGTACTAATGATTATTGCTTTATTGGGAAGTTGTCATTATTATTGCTTTATTATGAAAATTCTCATAATAATGATGCATGGGAAAGTTCCCATAATAATGATACATGGGAAAACAACAATCTTTCATCTCCCCTTCTCTTTCTTTCAAATTTCTTTCCACCAGAACCCTCTCCCGGCGTCTTCTCAGTCCAGCAAACCCTCCCTCCGGCGGTCCACCCTCCGTCGGCCAACTTCCATCAGCGGCCCAATGTTAGAAACAAAGTTTCTAACGGGATTCGTAGTGGGTGATCTTTGGGAATTTAGGGATCGAGAAGATAGAATTAGGGATTTGGAAGGAGAATTGGGATTAGGAACAGAATTGGGGAAGAATAGAAAGAACGGCCGAAGCCTCTAGAGAGAAGGATAGACGAGATTTGAGAGAGAAAGAGATTAGGGTTTTGGGGAAGGAGGACTTTTCTATTAATTTCTGCTTAATATGACGAATGATCCAAGGTACATATATATAGGGAAATACTAGAAAACCCTAAGAATAAACCTAATTCTACTAGAAGACTACTAACCATAATAAGAAATATCCTAATAATAATTATAACCATAAATATAGAAACCCTAAAGAAATCGGTTTCTAACATCTCCTCCCCCTTCAAACCAACCTTGTCCTCAAGGTTGATCGTTTTGACCCTCTTTTTCTTCCTTTCCGAGCAATCCGCAAGCTGACTAATCCAGTTCTTGCGCTTCCGTTTCTTCCAATCGTGCTCCACACCCCGAATAGGCCTTCTTTCTTCATCCTCCTGATTTGCATGATCCACGACCGTGATTTGCATTTCCGGTGGCATCATCCTCTCATTCTCCAAGTATTCAAACTTCAATAATTCTTCTTTCGCGATCATCGCCCTTCAGCAACTCCATGAATCCAACGACTCGCTCTGGCTCAAGAACACATCCTTAAGTACTAATTTATCAAGGCCTGTGAACATCTTTCTTGGAGCTAGCCCGTAAATTTGCTCTAATGGTTCTCCAAACCCAATTGGATCATGCTCTCTCGAAAACCCATATTCCAAGCATAATAAATGGTCCTTCCAAACCATTGAGCCCATTGCCTTCATAACCCAGCCCACGTTGGGCTTAACCCTCTCCTGCAGACTACACCCACAAGCAATCTCATCCTCAGCCAACTTCCTCTTAATTTTCGGCCCATAGCTTATCTCCAGCTCCATCATTCCTTTTCCTCCTCCTGGCCCACTCAATCGATCCCCTTGGTCTGACACGAGCCCAGCCCGCTCGCGCCCTTGCTGCTCCGCTCGGGTCAAGGCAACCGCCCCAGGGTTCCTTGGATTTAGCCCATTGAATTGTTTCATTGTCTCTCCACATGCATTTGGGTTAGTTTTCCTTGAAATTCCATCTGACCATCCTATGAACCCACCTTTCTTTTTCTCCAAGCTCACCCACTTTAAAACAAAGCCTGTTGGAGGCCCAGGCCCGCTCTGACAGCTCAACCCAGTCTTCTTTTGAACCCAGTGGGTTCCCTTGCTGTTCAGCCCAAGACTTAGCTTTGGATCAATCCGATTATTCCCATGACGTGGCCCGATCGAGTGAACCAACAGGTCTGACCTGAGCTCAACGATTGTTCGCCCTTGCTCCAGGTTTGTTTGGCCTGTCTCACCCTGTGTCTTGGGCCACCCAGCCCAGGTTTTTCGGCCCAACGACTCGGTTGGCTGGTGTGCGCGGCCCGAGGGTGACCTAGGGTTTTCAAGAGGAGAAATCCAGCTGCCACCAGCCACATCTTTCGTCTTCTTCTTCCTCGACGTGCCCGCCGTCGACGCGTCAAACTTCGCCGACAAGCAGGCCGAACGGCGGCAACGAGTCACTCGACGATCCATCTCCGCTCCGCCAGCCGTCATCGAACGCGCTCCCTTCTTCTCCTTCGATTCCACCCACGATGACGGATTCTTTACCTCGACCTCCGTCACCCCCGAGCTCGCCGTCGCCACGATCGGCTCTCGTTTACCCAAACGCGTCTCCGGCGGAGCTTTCGTCTCCTCCACCTCCGACAGCGAGGCCACAACCAGCCTGGTTCCCGTCGTTGCGACTGCAGCTGTCGGCGACCACGGCGCATCTTCTCTTGATTTGTCCTTCGATGACGACCTAGGTCTAGAGAGGAGAGCGATGACACGGCCTCCCTTCAGCTTCTCTCTCTTCGGTGACAAGGCAGGAAACTCACCGCCTCCTCCCTTCGCCTTCTTCTTCTCCTTCCACGAACAATGCCCCCGGACGCGAGAAATCGACTCCGGCGGAATCTTCTTCGTCTCTCTCATTGGCGGTGGTTCCCACATCAGGCGGCTAGTGGAAGGTGACCCCGGTGCCGCACACCTGATCTCGACCGCGATTGGCGTGGCCGGTGATCCCGCCATTGCTGGTACGACCTGCGGCGCCGGCGAGTAATCCCGGTATTCCTTCTCCGCCATTGCTTTGTGTCGCCGGTCGATGCCGAAACGGAGCTCTGCCAACTTCGAGCGGATCTCGAGACTTCCGATGTTTCGCATCTCGACCGTGAACATGTATCAATGTATCAGTGACATGACAAGAGTAGAAGTGCTTACCCTTAATGTTGTGGTTTTATGTACTAGTCTAGTGATACATTATTCCGAGACCAATATTGAAGTTTGTAAACTTGTTTTAAAATTGTTGAGGGACAAATTTCTAGATGAAATATCGATGTTCAAACGTTACCATTGCAGCATTAGATATTATGTACTTGTACCATCGAACTGATACATATACCACTGAACTGATACATGTACCACGGAGAGTATGGCATGAGGGAATTTACTGATACCACAAGAAAAAATCCAGTTCTCGAAACTCAGGTACTGATACCACAAGAAAAAATTCCAGTTCTCGAAACTCAAAAACACAGATCTAAGAGATGAAAAGACCATTGCACTAGTACTAATACCACACTAAAAACCCATATATATGAGTTTGGGAGAGAGTGCTACCTCAGATTCATTTTTGTCGTCTTCGCCGGAAAGGGGAGGAGGGCCAACGCCGGAAGGGTAGGAGGGTCATCGTCTTCGCCGGAAAGGTGAGGAGGGTCATCGTCTTCCCTGTCGATCCCTTCGCGTCGACAATCGAAAAGATAGACCTGTGGCGTGAAGTCAGAGGATGGCCGACGGATGGGATGGGCCGCCGATGGTCGTTGAGGAATCGTAACGGAGGCTGGAAGGGTGATGATTCCGTGGCGGAGAGAGGTTACGTCGGGGGAGGGTTTCCATAGATAGGGAGCAGTTAGCATGAATACCCCCATAAGGGGTTTGATTTTTGACACCCGACTTAGATGCCATCCATTTTTATTAGTGTTAAACGAATGGTTAGGATTAAACATCTATTTATTGAGAAGTAATCACGTAATTATTACTCTATAACCTACATTGAAAAGGAAAGAAATCGGGTATCGAGGAAAAAATTGTTCCCAAGGTCAATACAAAATTAATTAACCCTCACCCTTTTATCACTCCCTCTCGTCTCCTCCTATCTCCCTTTCAATAACCTATCTATGGAAACCCTCCCCCGACGTAACCTCTCCCCGCGACGGAATCATCACCCTTCCGGCCTCCGTTACGATTCCTCAACGACCATCGGTGGCCCATCCCATCCGTCGGCCATCCTCCGACTTCACACCACAGGTCTATCTTTTCGATCGTCGACACGAAGGGATCGATAGGGAAGACGATAGTAACATCCCGAACCTTTTCCCGACAAGATACTGTCCGCTTTGGGCCTCTACACCCGCATGGATTTCGACTTGGGGTGCAATTCAAGGTGACTTCCCATAAGGTCACCCATCCTTGTTGTACTCCACACTGAGCACGTTTAACTTCGGAGTTCTCACAAGAACTTTTCCATTACACCCCAAAACGCGTCTTGTCAGTTAAGGTCGGTTTCCTACTTATGAACCATGGATCTCTCCCGTGCTTTGTCGATGTGGGATTTGCCTAAGGTGTTACATACACCCCCCCTTGGGACTCAACGCCCTCGTTGAGGTTTGCCCCACCATCGTTCAAGAGGGACGCGGAGAGGCTCTGATACCACTTGTAACATCCCGAACCTTTTCCCGACAAGATACTGTCCGCTTTGGGCCTCTACACCCGCACGGATTTTGACTTGGGGTGCAATTCAAGGTGACTTCCCATAAGGTCACCCATCCTTGTTGTACTCCACACTGAGCACGTTTAACTTCGGAGTTCTCACAAGAACTCTTCCATTACACCCCAAAACGCGTCTTGTCAGTTAAGGTCGGTTTCCTACTTATGAACCATGGATCTCTCCCGTGCTTTGTCGATGTGGGATTTGCCTAAGGTGTTACAACGATGACCCTCCTCACCTTTCCGGCGAAGACGATGACCCTCCTACCCTTCCGGCGTTGGCCCTCCTCCCCTTTCCGGCGAAGACGACGAAAAAGAATATGAGGTAGCACTCTCTCCCAAACTCAAATATATTGGTTTTTCGTCTGGTATTAGTACTAATGCAATGGTCTTTTCATCACCCAGATCTGTGTTTTTGAGTTTCGAGAACTGGATTTTTTCTTGTGGTATCAGTACCTGTGTACTGGTATGTCTATCACTGGAGTGGTATAAATTGTTGATTCTGGTACGGAAGTATACCACTCCAGTGATAGTTGATTCTTGGATAATGTAGTGTTGTTTATTTGACTGCATTCTATCACCACATTGATATAGTTAACCATGTGAATGTTTTTGTGGCATACTGTGTCTATCACTTTATTGGTAGATCTATCACTGCAGTTGTTGATCTATCGATGCAGTGGTAGATCTATCGCTGCAGTGGTAGTTCGTTGTGATGTTTTTGTGGGTAGTGCTATCACTGTAGTGGTACAAACAAAATCATTATGGTTGTTTAAAGTACAACTACCGTAGTAGTTATGTTTAGAATGGTTTTCTAGGATAGAGCTATCAATGGATTGATATATCTGCAGTGAAAGTCTTATTGTTGATCTCATCTATCAGTAGTTATATTTATTGGTTTGACTTTTGATTTTACCTTTTTTGATTTCAGTCAGAGAAGTGAGTTCCTCGAGAAGTTGTGGAGCGGCGTCGGATGCACGCTAGGAAAGACAAATCGCACAGAGCAGGGAGTAGAGCACGTTCCGGACTACCAGCGAGAGCGATTAGGGAGCTTGCAAAATGGAGCAATGACAATGAAGATATTTATGGTCCAGCAACTCTTAATGTCGAGTTTCAACAAAAGTTAAAGAGGCTTGAGGTGGAAAAATATATTGTATTCATTTGGTTAATCAAATTGATGAAGAATTTAATGGATGCATATTTTGGGAACTTTAATGGTATTTGGTGCTCTATTTTCACATTAGTAGTATCCTTCCCCCAATTCTTATAGTTTAGTGGTGTGTAGTGTATTTCTCCCATACAAAATACAAATGAAGGGGTACATTAGAAGTGGCAAATACGAGTTGGAGTGAGAACAATACCACTTCAATGATACAAATACCAGTAAATTCTCTCATGCCATACTCTCTGTGGTACATGTATTAGTTCACTGGTATATGTATCAGTTCAGTGGTACAAGTACATTATATCTAATGCTGCAATGGTAACGTTTGAACATCGATATTTCATCTAGAAATTTGTCCCTCAACAATTTTAAAACAAGTTTACAATCTTCAATATTGGTCCCGGAATAATGGATCACTAGACTGGTACATAAAACCACAACATTAAGGGTAAGCACTGTTACTCTTGTCATGTCACTGATACATGTTCATTCAAACAAATATACTAGTTTACGACCGTATTGACAACACCTAATGCAAAGCAACTAGGTTGTTTACGCAACTTCAATAACCAGTGGTGTCCATCTGGACCTTTTCAGGGGAAAAATACCATTGCAGTGGCATTGTATCACTTCAATGATACAAAATACCAGTGCACGGGTACATTGTCGGGCGGGAGAAGTCGACGAGACATGAATACAGATCCTTACTGAGATTGTTTTGGTGTTCCTCGGCGTCTCTAATTGGCTCCACTTTCACGACAGCGCCACCATCTTCCATATGCTCGACGTTAATGATTTCCGGCCGTGTGAAGTGATGAAGTTGATGTACACGTACCAATCCACTGTTACACGTACCAGTCCACTGGTGCGTTTCTTCTGCCTCCGTCTTCCATATGCTCGACGTTAGAGACGAAATTTTCCAGATCATCTCGATGATTTCATGCCGTGTGAAGTGATGAAGTCGATGCCGCAGGAGAGGAGACTCGAGGGGAACGGAGGGACGGGAGAGGGTCGGCGAAAAGGGAGGCAACGATAAGTTGGGCCGCTGATGAAAGTTGGCCGACGGAGGGTAGACCGCCAGAGGGAGGGTTTGCTGGACTGAGAAGACGCCGGGAGAGGGTTCTGGTGGAAAGAAATTTGAAAGGAAGAGAAGGGGAGATGAAAGATTGTTGTTTTCCTGTGTATCATTATTATGAGAACTTTCCCATGCATCATTATTATGAGAATTTTCCCAATAAAGCAATAATAATGACAACTTCCCAATAAAGCAATAATCATTAGTACTTACCCAAAGATGAAGGACACGTGGATAGCTGCAGGAGGGGCTGTCAAAAACCCAACCCCTTTTGAGGTTGTCATAGTATTCTGTCCCATTCACTTTGCTTTCTCTTCAACATAATGGAAACTTGGTGTAATTGGAATTTCTGGTGGGTTTCCTACTTTTATCCTTCCACATCAGTGCTACACAATATTCACATTTATATAATGAATGTCCAATATCAAACACTTTAACAGTTACAATAAAATAAAGTCGAAACTCAAACATGAGAACTACTTTGATAAAAAAAATTAAATGCATCTCATTTTGAAGTCCTTTATATTTTTTTTGCAAGAAACCACTTTGAAAATTAAATGCATTCATTGTATTTTGCTTTTCTTAAGTACTTTCTCGCTAATCTTATTTGTGTTAATTAATTTACAAAAATGTAAAATAGAAAGCAATAATTTTGTAAGAATTAATAGTTACCATAGTTGTTCATACCATTGGAAAGTTTATTTGCGCTTCAGCGAGAATGAGTAGAATTAATCCCACCTTCTAGTAATATAAAACAACTCCGTTTTTTTCTAAATCACTTGTCGCATAAACACACATTAAATTATAATATGTATAGAATTATGCTAATAAAAACATATGTACTTCAACCAATTTTTAAGATGAATTAGAGCATTGTTTTGTTGTTTGAATTATTCCCCACGAAAATATTTCTTATATGTGTCAAATTGCCAAAGATAATTCTAAGTAATAAAAATTAAATTTTCCAACTTTAGACATATATGTCATTCTTTGATGAATAACACATCCTAACCATGCGTTTTTGTGATTTTATTGCATAGTCAATTAGTGTAAAACTGATTGTTAAATGCCACATAATAATATATTCATACCAATTTAATTAATCGATGCAGATTAATTCAATTCAATGGCTTTCCTTGCAAAGAAAGAACGCTCGATCATGAAGGGCTAGACTTGTTAGGAGGAAAAAATGGGTTTGTCTTTTTCATTTTTTTTAATTAAGTTCATAAAACTACTGTCTTTTTGGATTCCTCGTCCATCCAGCTACCAAGTAAGCTACTCATGCTTCTCTCTGTCACATCATTTCAAGGTTAGGAATGACAATTTTGACCTGACTCATTTCTATCCGAACGGTTTGACTTGTTTTGGGCGGGTAATACTTGCCCCCGTAGATGGAGCGTGGCAGGCATGAGTATTGTTTTCAACCTGACCCACCCTGACCTGCCCTATTCTTTACCTGTTATTGTGCAAATTAGACGTAATTTTACAGAAATATCCTATAATAAAGTTATAAATAGATGCAAACCTCAATTTTACGAATAATTTAACTACACTTATCATGTTAAATTTTATTTGTTAAATTTTTAATGCAAAAATCAATATATCAACTATTTTTTCGTCACAATACATAGCCATATAAGTCGACCTGTCCTGATCCGCGCTCAAGAACAAAAAACCCGACCTGTATGAGGCGAGCATAGGTATCGATATACCTACCTGAACTGCCTATTGTCATACCTATTAAGCTCACGTATTTGGCTTTTGGCTTTTTTAATTTTGGGTTAAGGTCTTTGATGTTGCCCTGTAATTGCCATCCCTTTTCCATATTCGGATTTGCCCAAAATCAAAGTAATCAAGCCCACAATGAAAGAAACTCACGTTAATTAAATAAATAAAAAAGCATCGAGGCCCAAAAATATTCAGATCCACAAATATAGATGCACGAAAAAAAAAAAGAAACTTGTTTATGAATTAAAAAAATAGCAAAAAGAGTAAAAGACCAAGTTCTCCTTCCTAACTCTGCGCACAGTCCAGGAAAAAGACAATGGAGTGGGTATTGGAGGAGAACCTCCGTATATTGTTTGGAGGATGAGGATTGGTCGAGATAAGTTCAGGTCCTTAAGGCTATAAACTTAAGAATTCTCTTAAGTTGTTCCTATTGGCTAATAATAATTTAAGTAGTTAATAGGGACTTAGTGGTTAATAGGAAGTTAGGGGTATAGAGGGTATTAGTGATTACTATAATTAATTAAGATAAATAAATAAATTTCACAACCCATGACGCATGCCTCGCCTTTCCAAAATATCTCCGTTATTTTTGTATAATATTATTTTCACTGAATACCATTATGCAGCGAGCGTCGCCGATTTGGTCGAGACTCGAGAACATTCCTATTCCACCGTCAGAGTCCGACAACCTCAAGATCTAGCATGAACTTCGAGATAAAAAACAACCCCGACGATGATAAGCTGCTTCTCTTCATCATGCAATTACACCTCAACTCCAATATCTTGCTATCGATCTCAGTCCTCGAGAGACTGGCCAAAGAGAAGAAAGGTAGGTTAATGAACTCCCTAGGGACAATGTGGGTACCTCTTTCTATGTTATCCATGGCAGTTGAAGCCACAACCTCACTTGTATATATGTTGTTTCCTCTTCCTATATTTATTGATTTATATGTTGTTGTGTACTTCTCCTGTTTCTATGTTGTTGTGTATGCGGTGACTTTTATGTTAAATAATGATGCGAAATCGTTAATAATGTTATTGTAAAGTATTTATAAGTATATTGACATCGTTAACAATGATGATACATATCAATAAAAATATTTCATCAACACGGAGAACAATAATGTGAATCGATAACAATTGATAAAAAATGTTAATAATGTCACTGTAAGTCATGGTAAGAAGCCATGATTGGCTAGTTATGAACACGACGTGAAAACGTGAAGCGTTAATAAAGATGTTGTAAATCAATGATAATATTACTAAAATCATTAATAACAATCTGACATAACTTTAATGATTCCTTCCTAAGTGTTGTGGAAGAAAATGTAAAAAGTTAAAATTGATCGTAATTCGTAAATCATTGCTAACAGTTGAAGCCAATCATTGTTAATGTTTTTGTTTTGGTTTTGAACCAAATATGATATTTTTTAACATTTTAAATGGTATTTGACACTTAACATTGAATATTGAAATTCATTAATGATTTTGTGTTGGTTTTCAATGAAATTCAATTTTCTGATCAATGACTTGCTCATTCGTTATTAAGAGTTTCCAATACCAGTATTAACGACTTGATGTCATTTTTTAATGTTGAAGGCTATCATTGTTAACGTTATTTGTTTTTGTTGGGGATATAGCTCGGATCTAGTCGCGCCAACGAAACAGACCAGCGTGCCCTAGGAAGAACAACTTGCATTAGTATAGCCGCAGAAAGCCGTGCTCGCGGAAGGGATTACTCGCGGCCTGAGGTTCCGCTAGATAAGACGCGCCTGCGAGTATCAAAGGCGTCAGACGGCGTTGTTTTCTCTGCCCAAGCCAGTGTCGTTTCCCATCAAAGGTGCCAGACGAGTATCAAAGGCGCTAGACGGCGTCGTTTCGCTCTACCCAAGCCGGTGTCGTTTCGCTCAATTCGGACCGGGTAAGGAAACCGGGAAGAACAACGTCGTATCCTCTGAAGGAACGGTCACATCCTAGTCCTAGGTATAATTATGGCCTAAGCATGGTCTAAATGTCTGACACACATGCAGTAGTCATATCACATTAAATGTCCATCCACCGCAATGTAGCCTATAAATAGAGCATTTACTCCGGTGGGTGGAGGGATCGCATTTTTACTCTCTCACTCTAAAGGATCGACTTCTCTCTCTAAGACTCCA